TTTTTTTAATTTACTTCAAATCAATTTAAAACTGATATTTTTATTAAAATTTAAACCTTTTTTTATTAAAAATTATTAAATCACAATTGCTATCGCTTTAAATTTTTACAAATATTCAAAATAGCCAAGCAATAAATTTACATGTTTATGTACGAATCGATCTTAAGTAGGAACGTCACGCATGAAAAGTATTCGTGAATCTCACGGATGAAGAGAGTAATACGAAGCTCCTAATATGGCTAGCGATAAAAAATCAGGAAAGTCTGCAAAAGGTACGAAGTCTAGTGCAGAAATATTATCTGAATTTCAAATGCTTCGCAATGAACAAAGGGCAATGGCTAATAAATTGTCAGAAATGGAGATGGAACTAAATGAACACAAGTATGCTTTTTCTAACCTATATTATTTGTCTATTGCTTATGAATATCAAATGTTTCGAATATTACAAATAGATAGTAAATATGTTTTCGCAAATTTATTTATAAACAAGTTTTAATGCAAGTTTTATAAAAAAAACAGAACTATGAATAATTTTTTTTTTATTAAATATTACATTTATTTATGATGTACACACTTTTAGACAATATACATTGGTATTTATTATTATTTAAATGACACGTTTTTTATTTTTAAGGATTGTAATTGAAACATTAAAAACTGTAGAACCAGAAAGGAAATGCTATAGAATGACTGGAGGTGTTTTATGTGAACGAACTGTAGAAGATGTAATGCCAGCGCTGGTAACAAATAAAGAACAGGTTATTTTATTTTATTTTAAATTAGTCAAAGTGAAATCAAGTAATATATAATTTTTTATAATTTTTCAGAACTTAAGTATAAAATGTAAATGAAATGTGTTTTATATTTTGCAGCTAATTAAAGTCATAGATGCTTTAAATGAGCAGCTGACAAATAAAGGAATTGAAATAAATGAATTCAAAGAAAAGCACAACATTAGAATTAAAGGACAGCAAGATATGCAACAACGGCAAGGTGAAGATAAAGATTCCAAAGAAGCAAAAAGAAGTGCAGTAGTTGTTAATTATTAAACAATTATGCATAAAATCAAAACCCCCAATTTATAATACATTTCATATTTACATTTAAATCACACATTGGCACTTATTTATTAAATATACTGAATGAATATTGTATTTGAAATGTATAAATATTCAATTTTTTAATGATTCTGTATTTTGTATAAAGAACTTATGATTTTTGTTCATGGATAAACAGTACACAACTTCAAATGATGCTTTTAGTCTTCCACGATTATCACTTCTTATTATACACCTTGATTATGGAACTGCTATAGCTAATTTCATATATGCTAATAAGTTATAAAACGAAGATACATAAATGAAGATATTTTAACTATAATATCTTTTAGTTTATGCAAAATATATTAAATGTGATGCATGAAGGTTA